ATCAATACCTGCCCACCAGGACTGCAAAACGACTACAGGGTATTGCGTGGTGGGACGAAAGAGCTGCGCAACAAACGGCAGAAGTGCAGAGCGTTAAGACGCCGTCTACGCTCTACGACAGACGAGGAAGCAAAGATTACAATCCTCGCAGCATTCAGAAGGAAGAAAGAGCAGCGTACAAGATTAACCTCCTAAAGGCGAAGATCGCCAGCTGGCGGAAGTTCTGTACGGAGAACTCAAATCCATATGGAATACTGCACAAACTAGCAACCTCCAAAGTCTTCAAGCCGGATCATCTGTACGCCAAGAACCACAAATCCAACCTCCACCGGCAACATAGCAGAAGATACTGCTACCACATATCTGAATGCAGCCTTCAGGGAAGATAACCCAGGGGATGACACGGCCACAACAAAGACTAACAAGAGACTGTCAAGACGTCCCAGATACCCCGGATGATATCCTTTCGAAACGGAGGAGATTAAGCAAGTCTTCAAATATCTTCCGCTCAAGAAAGCGCCAGCCCTGACGGAATGGACTATGCAATCATCAGAGTCGCATACACTGCCCTGCCCAACATACTTCAAGGCCTTCTTTAATAAATTGCTAAGATAAGACAGCAGATATTTCCATCGGCCTTCAAAAAGGGCCAAGTCGTATTCTTTCTTAAAAAGAATAAAATCACCAGAAGACCCCAGCTCCTACAGACCGATATGTTTATTGTCTGCGCTGGGGAAGGTTTACGAGAAACTTCTGGTGAATAGGCTAAAGTACCACCTTCACCGTACCAAATTCCTTAGCAATAACCAATATGGGTTCAGAACTGGCCTCTCTACAGTACACGCTCTAGATAAGATCAGAAGCCACATTAACGATAATAGAGCCAATAACCGGCACACACGGCATTTATATCACTAGATCTTCAGAGTGCCTTTGACTCCCTCTGGTGGCCTGCAATCAAGCAGGCCCTCAGGGAGGCAAAGTGCCCCAGGAATCTATATAACATCTTCAACGATTATCTGGACTCAAGAAGTCTCATAATCGCAAACAATAGTGGTGTCTATACAAAAGCAGGAGAGGGGCTGCCCACAAGGCTCTTGCGCGGGGCCCCTGCTTTGGATAATTACGTTCAATGCGCTACTGCAACTCAATTGGCCTGACCACACCAAAGTAGTGGCGTATGCCGATGATGCGGCACTACTAGTTACTGGCCGTACGCGAGACGAACTGGAGAGGAACGGCTCCGCCACTTGCTCCAAATTCTATGACACGTGCCAAAAGCTGAAACTCGTTATCTCAGCCCAGAAATCTACGGCCATGGTCATACCGCGTCCAGGTACAAACCCCACGAGACGACCTTGTATTAAGCTAATGGGCAGAAACTTGAAAATCACCAAAACGTTGAAATACCTTGGAGTCACGTGGGACCAAGGCTTGACCTGGCTACCACATCTACAAGAAGTCAAAGTCAGAACAGCCAACATTGCAAAGAAAGCCAGGCAGTTTCGGGGACAAAACTGGGGGCAGCAGAACCCTTACATTCAAAAACTGCTCTACTTGACGGTTGCAGAAAGGATTGTACTCTATGCCTCAGCTATTTGGGCACTACCAATGAGCAGCCGTAAAAATAAAAGCCCTGTCAACAATACAAAGACCTTTTGCTCTCAACATTAGCAAGGCATATAGAACAACCGCGACAAATGCAGCACTTGTGCTTACCGGGCTCACACCCCTTCACATCAGGGCCAAGTTAGAAGCAATATATGAGCGGGTAATAAGATTAAAGGAGAATGCTGCACTCGACACCACAGTCTTCAGCACGCTGCAGTACGAAACACCAGGCAGCACACAGCACGTGCACCCAGCACATAAAAAACTCGGGCATACACGTCAAAATAGCAAAGAGATCTACGCCGCGAATAGAGGATGTACCAGTCGCCTCGCAATTCTACACAGATGGCTCCAAACATGATAACGGAGTGGGTTGTGCTTATGCTTATTATGAGCATGGTACACTTCACAGTCAATGGAAAGGTCATCTTGCAGCTCACAATAGTATCTTCCAGGCGGAGGCCATAGCAATTGAAGCGGCAATACAGTACGCACATGACATACAACTGAACTTGCACGAACAGAAATCTGCACAGACAGCATGTCAGTGCTGCAGGCATTAAAGAATCATCATCACACCATCTCCCATAATCCTGCAAATCCAACAGACATTGCATAGCAACCAGCAATCTAACATCAAGCTAAAATGGGTAAGAGGCCACTCTGGGATCGCAGGCAATGAGATGGCAGATCAACTGGCCAATGAGGCAGCAATCAACAATAATGCACAGGCTGTCTCAGCACTAATCCCGCCGTCGTTTTTAAAAAGAAACTAAGAGACATAGGGAATAAACAATGGCAACACGAATGGGAGAATGGAGATATACCGGCAGAAGGACTTTCGAGTTCTACCCTGTAGTAGATAAAGAACGCTTACAGGCCATACCCCCTTTAGTAAACTATATCACACGGGGCATGGCCCTTTTCCCACCTTCTTTTATAAGCGTGCTATTTCCATGACAGAAGCGTGTGTGTGTGGGGAAATTGGCTTCCCCGACCACTACATGTTCAACTGTAGCCTCACGACGAGCCATCACCTACCATATCCCACTACGGATATAGTACCTTACAAGAGGTTCATCATCAAACACGCACCTGCGATAAGAAATATATGTAAAATTATACAGCAGCTGAGCGCTCTAGGGCAGGATGTCTGCCAACCAGCATAGGAATAATAGCATACACAGCGCAATAATTCTATGTCTCTATTGTAACTTAGCAGGTGTTATGTCTAAAATTGTAATATGTAATAAGTAACTGTGTATATAAGTAATTGTAAGTAATAGTGTAATGTAAGTAATTTAATCAATGAGTGTAATACGTCGTACTATGTGTACTTTTAACATAACGTAATTGGTAATGTAGTCATTAGCGCGTGTATCGCGTGCCACATGTGTATTATTTTAAGTAACGCATATATGATTATAAGGCAAAGTAGTGTGCCTATCTTGTTATATATCATAATGTCATTTAAGAAGTAATAGCAATAATGTAAACTATAAGTAATCCAGTATAAAGTAACTTAGCAAGTTCGCAATACATTAGCTTAACGTAGTATACAGTCAGGTTATAACTCTAATAAGTGTAGATTAATGTCATGCATTATGTATGTGTAGTCTAATGTCATGTGAAGTGTAAGTATGTATGTACTAATTCATGCAAGTATTATGTATAAGTTTAATGTCATGTCATATCATGTATGTAATGTTATGCTTCATGTATGCATTATGGCCTATGAACACCCAGGTCAACCATTAACATAAGAATCTGTACAGAACCAATGTCAAACTGGAATAGCCCTTGTATGGCCATGTAAACTTTTTCATGAAGGCTCAGTAACTCCCGGTGCGCCCTTGTGGGACCCCAGTGAGTTCTTGTATCTATATAGGGGGGGGCGTGGGACATATGCCTGTTTACCTCCGTTAAACACCAGGCGTCCCCGTCCTCCGTCACCTGTCACCTGTCTGTTCGTCATATTTTAATTGAGTGTCCCTGTTTTAACAGTCTTCGTCAGAAATATTTTAATAGCTGTGACTTACCTCTCGACCGTTTAATCGGAAGAGAGGTCAATTGTAATTTATTTTATTATTTAAAAGAGACTGGCTTTTATTACCAAATGTAATTTGTTTTGAAGACTGTGTCTTGAATTTTAATATGTGCTTTTAATTTGTTTTTATATGACTTCATCCTCTGGATTTGGTACATTTGTCTATATGTTTATGTATTGAATTTTAATTCATGAATTGTAATCATCCCATCTCGTGTTTGGCGCGCTATAATCATCTTTGGTTTTTTCGCCATAATTTCTCACTCACTCACTCACTCGACTGAGTCCATGCGGAGTCGATCGAGTTGACAACGAGTGCCGATTGGGTCGTCGAGTGCATCGAAAGAGTCTCTTAGTGTATCGCGGTTTGTGCATCGTCGAGAGAGCGTGTTGAGCTCCGGGAACGACTGAACCGAAGAGTTGGTAGCTGTGCTCTGTGTGTCGTCGAGTGCAGGGCGAGTTTGTAGCGTGGAGAGTCTCGTGCGTACGTGAAGTTCCGAGAACGATCGAGCCGAGTCGTTAGCTGTACTCTGGTGCTTTGCAGTGAAGCAGTCTCCACCGCTATAGCCTGATAACCTGAAAGCTGTGTCGCTGATTGTTCCAGCGTGTTTATTGTAGTTCTTCGACGACTGTGTAAAACGTGACTTTGGAGCTGTCCTGATTAATATTGGCTAAATAAAGTGTGTTTCGATACTTCATCAAGTGTCGTCGTTATTCACTCCAAATCTAGGAACCTCATACGAACTGGTATCAGAAAATAACGTAACAATATTATTGTTGCGTGTGTAAGAGTTCGTAATAGATTGAATGCGCAAGTCTGATAATAGGATAATAAAATTAATTTTATTAAAAGAAATATTTCGGAACTCTGGAATTTTCCACAGAAATACTCGTACAGGTGTCTCAATATCACACAGTACAATCAGTAGTTACTCTTGAAACTACTAAAAACGTTAAACACAATGCAATGCAAAGCGCATCTGAAGAGAAAGCTAACTCGAATGTCTCACTTCAAGCGGAACTAAACGACTCGCAACAACAATAACTAAGCAACTGAGAGCAGTTACTTTTTCTTCGGCCTTAACTAGTTTTCAACCGAGAGATATTTCTAGTACTTACTACTTCTCGAAGTTACTGGAAAGCAATACGAGGGTGTAATTGCGGTCACAGCTAACATAGTGGCCAATTATGTTTATTCAATTTCAATACATATTACGGTGATACAGGACCCAGACCAAAATGTCGCCAAATGTCTAAGCACAAAATTCGTAACACTGTTTATCAATCTACATTAGTATTGTTTGATTTTATTTTACCACATTCTTTTTATTCCTTCTCCCAGAAGCCCATCCGAGGAAGTGTGGCAGCGGAGAGTATGCGTCGCCTGACGGATCCCTCACTGTATACCGGAACCCACAAAGAGCGCTTCGATGCCGAGGGTAAAGGGAAGGGACTGTCCGGTAGGTACGACACCGCAGAAGACGATGGCTACGTTCAAGGATTCAAACCTAAAAGAAGCCCAGAAGACAAACAAGATCAAGAATAAGATGCGAAAAATAAATGCGTGAGACAATTATAAGAATAAATTTAATAATTTATTTCCTTTCGCTTTGTAATTAGAATTTTTTCCAATACCTACTCAAATAGAATACACATAATAACAAAAAATCGCATATCAGTCACAAAAACACTAACATTTTAGGAACATCAGTCTGTCTCTCGGTTATTTTAATCAAAAAAGAAAATTTAGAGAATAAGATGGATAGAAAACGGGATAATCTTTCATTCCTTATTTTTAGTTAGAAAAGTGTTTTCTCTTCAAATTTTTTGCCTTTTTGCCACTAATTTTCTCCAAATGTCTGCTTGGACTTCTACTGCGAAATGTTGATTACCTTATGCACGGTTGGTAATCTGGTTCCTTCTGGTGCTTCTCAAGACTTATGAAGACTTAAAAGTTGTAGAGACAATTATATGACTATTTTGTCGATCATTCGTTCGGAACAGAGATTCAAAATAGAATTTACAAAGACTCAAAGCTGATGAAGACTTTAAGTGACAATTTTAAGACTATTTTGTCGGCCATTCGTTGCGAACAGGAATTTGGAACAGAACTTATGAAGACTTAAAAGTTGTGATAACAGTTTTAAGACCATTTTGTTGATCATTCCGAACAGAGATTGAGAATAGAACTTACAAAGACTCAAAGCTGATGAAGACTTCGAAGTTTTGGTGACAATTCGAAGTTTTGGTGATCATTTTATAGATCATTCGTTCCGAACAGGGGTGTTTGTCTCTTGTTTCCCAGAAGTGCAGTTTTAAGTAGAATAAGTGGTAGAAGTGCTTGTGAAATTTTCTTTTATGTTCAAGACTAAGTTATCGGTACAGCACATAAATGTGAGATCAAGGTTTCAGCTATAACAAATGGAAAAAAAAAAAAAAAAAAAAATTAAATTTAACTCCGGTGGCCCGGAATCCTTAATCTCATTCACAATCGTTCACAAAGTAATTGACCAGTTTTCTGAACAGCAACAAAACTGTCACTTACTTTTGTGAACTCGGGACCACATATATTCGCATAAATAAGGAATTAAGTTATGTCTCGTTGTTGCGCCATTCTGTGGTACTCATTTCTTTCAATGTTTCGAGAGCGCCCATCAGTATCACCAGCTCCATAACTTTCCTGTTTGTTCTAATGTAGTAGGTCGGTCCTAAATTTCAATTTTTTCCTTCAGAATGCAACAACGAAAATAGTTAAAAAAAAAGAAAAAGAAATTTTCAAATTTTATATTACGCCCAAAGCGCCTTTTTTTAAAGTTTTCTTGTGTTACCTTTACTTATTAAATATTCTGTTCTTCGCACTTGAACCATAAAATTCAATTCAACTGCAGTATCGCTAAATAATTTTAAAATGAGCATATCTTTAGAATTTCCGATACATATTTTCGCGATCTGAAGATACAGCGTTGCCATTGCTCGCTTTGAAATCCTCGAGATTGTTAATCAAAAATTCGTTAAAGTTTTACAGAATATTAAATAGATAATAAAACAAATTCAGCATTCCAAATTTGGGCTGACAGACGCCCATTTTCGAGTGGAGGACAACGTTATTCAAAATTCGATGTCTCTAGGTACCGTTGTTTTTTCACACTTCGAGAAACATACATACATTCATGCAGATTCTTCATTGTTAAACTTCTTTAAATATAATTCAAGGCTCTAACATTTATCGGCAACAACCTGAAAAATGATACGCCGTCTATAGTGATTCTATAGTGTTGAAGGAAAATACTAAAACGAAATTAATAGTCCTTCTGGGCTAACGACCTTTGGGCTAGCAATCCCTGTCGAAGTGGGACGTCCGGTAAGCCCATGTGTAGGATATGCTCCAATTGTGGTTTCTGTACGAAATCTTCAGTATAAGTTTATTGATTTATAGAAGCGTTTACAATTTAGAAAGAGCTTTAGAAATTTTCTTTTCTCCCCCCCCCCCAAAATCGATCATGTACTCTTTTCCAATCGCTTTATTTCGGAACTTAGAAAGAACTAAATTGTACATAAGCATCAGCTGTAAATGTTCCCTCCAGACTTCATGACGTTCCTGCAAACCGTTTCATTATGTCTAGTGGAAAAATGAGCTTGGAAGTATACTATGCATCACCATTCTCTTTCCGTATGTTCTTTCTCACGAGCGTTCGAATCTCTTCGCTCTGGTGATCATCGTTGTTGAAAAGAGGTGATGAGCAATCTGTTTCAACCGCGCGCCCAAAAAAGAAATGGTGAACGCGGCGCGATACTTACCTGTGGGAAAATATCACGTGACGATGAATCATTTGTGCACGCGATTTTGGAAACTATAATCATTGCCAAATGGAATCTCCAACGTCTCATCAGTTAAGACAGCAAAGCAGATAGCAGAAAATGACATAACCCAGAAAACAACAGTATTTATAGCCCATCAGTTTTTTTTTAACCCTTCCTCTACTAACGTTCCCAACAGCGAAAATTTAACGAAAAATTATTTAAATTAGTTGTTTTTTTAATTTTTCTATAATGACTCACTTACTTTAGTTATGTCTTGAGTGGAAACTTTTGAGAACATCAGTATATTGATAATTATATAACAACATTCTGTAATAGTTATTATGTAAAGGTATTGTTTCGCTGTTCATTGGTGTCTGTTGCCATTTGGCAAAACGTAAGGTATTTATTTATCTTTCAAATTAAGTCTGAATTAATAAACTAATCTATTTTAAAATAACAAATGCAGTTCTTAAGAACACTATTCTTTTTACTTTTTGATCGATTGATTCAAATAAAAATGCATTTAATTCAGGATATTATCTTACAGTACCAATACTAGACCGTTGACCGTCTACGTATAAATTAAAATTAGCCGCCCTTCTTTAGATAAATATAATATTTTTGGTAGTCATTTTCCCGCCCGCATGCTGCGCAACAACGTCCGTTGCAAATGCGCTGTTTCACTTTTCATTGGAATCTGTTGCCATTCGGCAAAATGTAAGATACTGATCTTTAAAAATTAAGTCTGAATGAATAAACTAGTCTAGTTAAAACAACAGGTGTAGTTCTTAAAAATATTATTCTTTTTACTTTGTGATCGGATTCATTGAAATAAAAGTGCACTTAATTCAGAATATAGCTAATTAAAACCTACTGTAAATGCATTGTTTCACTTTGCATTGGATTTTGTTGCCATTCGGCAAAACGTAAATATTTATTTTTCAAATAAAAGTCTGAATTAATAAACTAAATTATTTAAAAACGACAGGTACAGTTCTTAAGAATATTATCTTTTTTACTTTCTTATTGGATATATTCAAATAAAAATGCATTTAATTCAGACTATATCTAATAAAAATCAGTTGTAAATGCGTTGTTTCACTTTTTATTGCCCCTTTGGGGCAATCTGTCCGGGGGGAGCTATTGATTTCGTTTTGGCATTTTGCGTTGGTTCACTATATAAACGGCGTTTCACTTTTCAAATTGTTGCCACCAGATATTAGAGACCTGCGTTAAAGAAATTAAATAATGAAGAATCTGCATAAATGTCTGAATGTTTCTCGCATTGTGAAAAAACAACGGTACCTAGAGCCATCCAATTCTGAATAACGTAGTCCTCCAACCGAACATAGGCCCTTGGAAACCCGAATTTTTAATTTCGAATTTGTTTTATTTTGTATTTGAATTTTGTAAAACTTTAACAAATTTTTAATTAACAAACTTAACGATTTCGAAGCGAGCGATGGCAACACTGTACGGGGGGGGGAATTATCTCCAGCGCACGGGACTGTGTTGGAATTTCTAAAGCTATGCTCTTTTAAATATTTTCTGATATTGCTGTTGAATTAAATTTTATGGTTTAACTGCGAAGAACATGATATTTAATAAATAGAGGTAACGCACAAAACGTTAAAATAAAGGCCCTGTTGGCAGTAATACAAAATCTGAAAGCTTTCAGATTTTCTTTTGAGCCTGTTGCCATTCGGCAAAATGTAAATATTTATCTTTCAAATATGCAAAGTTATTTAAAACAACAGGTCTGAATTAATAAATTAAACTATTTAAAAACGACATGTGCAGTTTTTAGGAATAAATATTATCCTTTTTAGCTTTAAGGCTGCTACTAATGAAAGGTCATTAGCAGCAGCCACGTGGCTGCTGATGGTCACCGATCATTGGTTAATTGGACGATTTTTGGAAAGCCGCTAAAACTAGAAAGAAATTTGGCCAATTTTTGCAAACCTAAAATTTCATAAATTCTATTCGACATTTCACACCGATTTTGTTTGGAAGAATACTTTTTAATCTATTCGATGGCGAAAAGCTACCATTAAGTTTTCAGTAGAGGAAAAGAATAAAAAATTTAAAAATATAAAAAATCATTAGATTAAAGTCAAACTGCAATTTGATCTCGTTTAAGATCGCAGTACAGATTACCCTTTAATTTCAGTAAATAAATTTCATTTGAACTCCTGAAATAATTCTAAACAGAGTTACGATAGGTCTTCTATTTAAGACTCATTTTTCCAGAATGTAAAGCTGTCGAACATAAAATCTTAACTTTTAAAATTAGCTGCTCAAGATGGCAAAAGGTAGAAAAACAATTTGTCACAATATTAATTCATCCTCAATTAAAGCGACGTAAAGCTTTGCACAGTTATTTAATGAAGGAGACAGTTAATCATTCACAATGTGAGTAAGCGTTCATTTCAATGCATCGCTTGCTCAGAGCATTCCCACAAGTATTTCCCTTAAGAGGCAGTACTTTATAGGAAATCCTTGAAGTGAAGGCAATATACATGTCGAAGGATTTTCCTTTTACGTGTTCGAAAACAGCATTAAATTTAATGGGAGGCGATCACTGAAATATTCTTTTGCCATAGCAAATACGAATGTAATCAAAATTTCAAGAAAATTGACCCATAAGTCTTAGAAATTGACTTCAGACTTTGGCGCAACAATTATCGGAGAAACCGAATCATATAAAGCACTTTAAAAAAAACTGATGTGTACACCACATGACTTCCTTGTGAGGTATATTAAATTATATGAATTTTTTCCTGCATTTCATTTAAACTTATTTCCT